ACATAATGGACTATTCCATACGTAATAAATACTGCGCCTCAAGAGGAAGCAGAGAGTTCCGTCTGGTCTGGAGTTCCGTCTGAAGTCTGGGGTGAAGTCCGTCAGGAGTCGGTCAGTCGAGTCAGAGGCAGTCCGAAACAGAGTCGTATTCAGACAATTACTACTAAACCTGATTGTTCGTACTAACACTTTTTCTACCTCTCTGTATATATTCCTGTTTGTAATATATCTGTGTTATTCCATATCCGCCTTCGAGTTCTTCTTTATTGGTTCTACCTTGGACTATCACCGTAGTACAGGGAACCGAACCATAACAGTTGGAAATAGAATTTATTTCTTATAAAGTAACTTCGTCGCCGGATTTTGTACTTCTTGTATTTATACATATTAAAGGAACCAAAAAAGTGTCTATTTTTACAAGTGGACCAGAAGTTTATTTAAATAGCGCCAAGTTGTTTGCATTCATTTTTTTTTCTAGTTTTATCTTTGTTAATATTCTTCAGAAAATTTCGTTAGGTTCATTATGAGAAAACCGTTGAGTAGTGTGTTGATTAACATCATGCAGTATCGAGGTCCAAGCGAGCAACGCAGGCATTCCTCAAGGTCCACTTCTCGGTTCAACTCTTTTCCTACTTTACATAAATGATCTACCTAAGAGTATAATCAAATCATTTGTGAATATCTATGCAGATGATATAACGGTATATGGTGCATAATCATAGATGACCAGAGCTTTGCATGTGATCTCGCATCTGATCTAATTCTAACAGCTTAGTGGGGGAAAGCTGTCTGGTCTCAGTCAATACCTTGAAAACCAAACTAGTGACATTTCATCATCGCCGATCTGACACAGAACTTTCATCAATCATGATAAACGGGTGTTCTCTCGGGGGGGGGGGGGGTCCCGTGCTTCGAGTGCCTATTGGGACTTAAACTTAACCCAGACCTCAAGTCGAGCTGGTACATACGACCCATCGCTAAAGATGTGTGGAAAAATATTTAGTTCCCTGTACTGTTCTAGCAAATACCTGACTCTTCCTGTTATCCTCTATCTTTACTACAAGAATCAGATCAGGCCGAAAATGGAGTACTGCTGCCATGTATCAACAGGAGTTACTGAGTCTTTGTTTTCACTCTCGATAGAGTCCAAGAACGTCTTTGCATCCTTGTGGGTTACGAATTATTTTCCACCCTACAACCCCTTTCTCACGGACGAGACGTCACAAGCCTCTCGCTGCTCTATCACTATTATCAAATGCTCAGATGAACTACACTCCGTAGTTCTATCACTCTTAACCTTCACGGCTAAGACCCGCCGTGCTACGCACATTGTAGCGAACCACTGCCGTTCCCTTCGTATTCCATTGATGAGATGTAAGTTCCACTCAATCAGCTTCTTCTCACAAACCACTGCCTTGTGGAACCGACTCCCAAGAGGATGTTTCTCCGATCACTATATTATACTCCATTGCAATTAAATCTCTTTCTGATTCATTCTGCATGCTGGCCGGATGTGAGCGCCATGAAGTCAGGGAACGAAATAAAAGAAAATCGTTCTCTGCGCATAGGCTACATGCATCACATCTGGTCTACAAAACAATCCCCGTCAATGAAAGCGTCACTGGCCAATCACGAACGTTCCTGCCGGAAAAGGAGATGCCCCTTAAAACCAGGTCTCCAATAGCGACCAAAAGTAGCCGGTCGGCGGGACACCGGCTGACACGCGGGGGGAGGGGGCTGCTACTGTTGTTGCTGCCGCCGCCGTTGCTGTTATCGCCACCGCCGCCTCTTAGGATATCCGCTTATCTCAACGACAGTGTTACCACTCCTAGACTTGACTAACCACCTCGGCTATCCAGTTTTGGCACGGCAACATCTCGACCTCGGCAAATACCAACCACAAAATCGATCTAAGACCACCTCGACATACCTGACTCGTTTACAAGGCATTCCCTTTGCAATCGCCACCGCAACCCCGTTCCACTGAATAGGTGTACTAACCTCACCAATCCAACAATACATCGACAAACCACCGCCGTCACCTCGGTTTACCCGACTCGTTACAAAGAATTCCCTTGCAGTCCTCACTACAGCCCTGTTCCATAGAGCAGGTCTACCAACCAGGGCCGGCGCTAGGGTCTCGCCTCCACTCGAAACTTTGATACGTTTTCCCCTACTACATGTTGACTTCAAAGTTTTCCAACCTGGGGGCCACAAACCTTTGAAGTAATTTATTGGTAGAAAGGGCAGCATTCTTTCTTTTTTTTTTTAATTTACCAAAAAATCAGGGAATTATCCAATTTAAATGAAAATTTCAGTATGTATTCATTAATTATTTACTTTTATAATGAATAGATAAATAGGTTTTTTATTTAAAAAATCTGAGAAAATGTTATTTTTTTTGTAATAACCACCAATATTTTCATGGCTAAATTTTACTCGAAAAAAAAATGTTTAAGTCGCAAATTTTTCCATTTCCACAAAGATTAATCGTCGATGCATCTCCGCTGGAAAAAAAAAAGAAGTTTGACAAAGATTCCAACACAACACAAACGGGAGTGTTATAAAAAAAATGTTTGAAAAATAGTATTTCAGTTTTCGGGAAAATTTTTCATGTGTTGAAATCTTTAAATGTTTTTATTTTTTAAGCGATTATTTTTAGAAATGTAAAAAATAGAGACTAGAAATTTTATTTTAATCTAGCTGGACTTCTGGTTAGTATTACTATTAGTAAAAAAAAATAGAGATCCTCCTTAGTGGGGGATGTTGAAATAAAAAATGATTTTACCGAGATATATTACTCTTTTAATTGATTTAAAAGAACTATTCAGAAAGAAAATTACAATTTAAAAAAATAAGCGCTACTGAAATTAGCACTTCTACCCCGCCCCCGTAGGCATGAAGCCCCCACGCAATTGAGAGGATCACGGTAGTAAGCACTGACCCTGTCGATTATTATAGTTGATGATTTACAATATAATTTAGATTAAAAAAAATGTATAAAGTACATAAAAGTAAAAAACGCTGCTGAAACTAGCACTTTTGAGGCGCCAAAATCGTCGGGGATTCTTGCGTAGTACGCACCGTACCGGCCATACACGATGTATAGTTGATGATTGACAATGTAATGTCAGTTTAAAAATAATTTTAAAAAATGGCGCATGGCCATAAAACAGTGCTGAAAAAATGGTAGAGGCCATAACAGGGCCCCCAAAAACGAGCCCCCAGGTTGGGGATATCGAAGGCATAGCGCACCGGCCCTGCTACCAAGAAGCGAAAATCGACCCCGTTCAAGTCTAGAGTTAACTGAACTGTTATCTTCTCCACATAACTACATAAACTGATGTTCCACTGGGCTTAGGGTGGAAAGATAAGTTATGAGACTGGCCACTGAAAAGTCGAAGCAACACAAACACGACATGTGATGTGGTAAACTTAATAACTTTATTATTTAAACTCCCCGCTGGATCCGTTTTGCACCCTAATCCATTCCCTAGTGGGAAGTGTTTACAGTCATCATCATAACCATCATTATTGATATTAGTGTGCCTCTTACTCAGTAACCATCTACCTCGATTGGACCTCGAGCCTTGTACAAGGTGAACGTTGTGATGAAAGCAATAGAAATGAGCATACGAGTCCGAAATAAAAAATAAACAATTTAAAAGAGAGAGAACATCATTGTAAAAAAGAAGAGAGAGAAAATCATAGTAAAAAGTAATTACGTGATGAAAACAAAAACAAAAATGAGTATACGAGTCCGAAATAATAAACAAATAATTTAAAAAAGAGAAAGAGAACACCATTGTAAAAAAACACTCTTTTGTTTACCACTGCTGTAGCCTGGTAGACAGAACTCTTTGGGTCTAAGTCACTGGATCTAACCAACGTCTTTATCCGCTGTTCCGTAGGTACGCTCCGGCCTTGAGAACATCTGTGTATGAATTTCCGGGACTTAAACTTAATTTCTTGTGCTAAAGAGTTGTGAGTTCAGTACCAGGCGACAGCAGTGGTGAACCAAAAAACTTGAAGAGTTGAGTTAAAGGGAAATAACTGAAACATCCGGAAGAGGCATGGCACGTGGAACTAGAACAATCTACCTCGTTGGACGAAATAAAGTTTTCGGTTCGAAATTCCAATCACCTGAAGAAAGCCTGAGCGTACAAGGAGTGAAACGTTGTGAATATGGCAATGAAGATGAGGATAACAGTCCGAATAATGTAAATAATCATAATATCGGGGGTATCGACAAAAATGAAAAAATGGCGTTATGATGAAAGCAACAAACATGAGCATACGAGTCCGAAATAATAAATAAATTAATAATTTATAGAGGGAGGAAGATTTCGAATCTCTTTTTAGTTTTTAGTCTCTTCTTAGTGAGTGACTTTTTTTTAGTTTTATTCTTCCTGTCACTGTACTTTTAAAGGCACTGGTGAAAAAACAAGTCTCTTGTCTTACTCAAATTGAAATTTTCAACGAAACAAACATTTATTAAAATGGCAAAATATTTTTACAGTATGTACAAATTGCACAAATTAAATTAATTACAATAACATTAACACTAATAGGCATCGCACAAAAAATCATTTGTAGTGTATGGTACTGTACCGTACACTACAAGGGATTTTTCTGCTTTGATAGTTTGATCGAGGCGTACACTGTGTACGCCACAATCAAACTATGAAAGCAGATTAGTAGTTTCTTGCAATAAAAATATGTTCATTCGCTTAAAAAGCAAACAAAAATAAATTAATTGCGGTTGATGTTGTTACTACAATGTTCTAATCATCAAGCATTATGAGGATATTGCGATTTTTTTTTTTTTATATAAAAAAAGATATTTTAAATGACAAATAGAGTAAAAAAAATGTATGGCACAGCTTTCCGTGTACACCGTTTTTAAAACCGGATGTAGTATTTTTTTTATTATAGCAGCGCTATCTAGTGGAACGCGCCAAAACGATAAGGCGTCATGGCGTTTGTGTTGTTAACGGTGAATGAAGTGTCATCATTATTATTATTATTATTATTATAAAGACAAAAACGTCTTCACTGTTCGATTGGTTCTTCGTTCGGCCCCGACGACGATGCCCGGCGATGTCAGCAAAAAGAGTAAAGAAGAAAAACAAGAGGTGGAGCTATTGGAAGATCACACTTGTCCAATTTGCATGTATCTGTTGATTGAACCGGTGACTCTGCCTTGTGAACACGAGTTATGTTTATCTTGCTTTCAGCAGAATGTCCAAGAAAGTCTTTGTTGTCCAATGTGCCGATGTCGAATTTCTTCTTGGGTCCGACGTCAGGCCAGACTAAATAACCTGGTCAACCAGGAAAGGTGGAAACAAATTAAAACTTTATTCCCAGAAAAAGTACGACTGAGACTCGAAGGATATGAAGATGATCCGAATGAAGATGAAGAAGGTAAAATTTTACGTTGTAGAGAGAGAGAGAGAGAGAGAGAGAGAAATTTTATTCTATTCTCTGATTTTGAAATATTATTTTGATTATTAAATACTAAAAGAAAAAGAAAAAAAATCTATGATGTTGCAACAGTCTAGAAACATTTTTAATTGCCACAGTACTGTCTGTAAATTTGGCTAACCAAAAAATAATAATACTATGTTATTTAAATTGGCAGCTAATTTAATTTATTTTTCCATCCCATTTTTACAATTACGTCTTTCTGGACTTTCACAGAAAAATCGAAATTATTGTTGGTCATTCTGAAAATAAATAAATTTAAGCCAATTTTTAACATTTCTTGTCATAATTACTTTTTAAATGCGTAAAATAAAAATGAAAATAAATATTTCCATAAACTATTTTGACTTTTGACCTACGTATTTTATCTTTAAAAACATGAAAAAAAAAAGTAAACTTTTTTTTATTAAACACTTTGAAAAGGATCTGTTATTAAACAGTTTGCTGAAGATCGGTCACCCAGGCTGCACTTCCCAACTACACTAGGGTCAGGAATACAATGATGCTTGCGACAACAGCAGATGAAAATATGGGTAATAATAAATGTCTCAAAATACCCTTCATGCAAAAAAAAAAATTATAACCACAAATCTGAAATTTACTTTTTTCTGAAAAAAAAAAAATCATAAATTATTAACCTATTTTTTTTTCTATAAAAATTTGTACCATATTCCTGTTTTTTTTTGTTTTGTTTTAAATAGGATTGAATTATGTAGAAAATGAAAGAAAAATAAAATCAACAAACAACTTTTAAAGCAGTTAGACAAACAGAATTTGAATTTTACTACAATTCAACAACAGAATCATTACTCTATTTTGGAAAAAGAATTCCTGGAATTGTCATTTGTGTCTATTTTTAAAATTAGATAGTAACTCATTGAATAATAAGAAAAATATTTTGAGCCTTAATTAGTAGGGTTGTATGATTTGAAAATACTAAATGATGTCCTCATCTATTTTGTTCTTTGTAGTTTCATTTGAATGGATTTCACCAATTTCTCATTTGGAATAATTCAAAGCTACACATGTCAAAAGTTTAGTGCTGACTGCAGATGGTGCTCTATAGTTTTAAAAATAACATAGCAATTAAGCATGGGAAGTGAAAAGACTTACTTTTGATTTATTTTTTTTATAATTGCTGTGTTGTAATTGTTCCAGTGGAGATTAATCAATTAAGTTATAATTAGGCCAATAGAAAGTTTTCAAAATTTGTTAAAGTATATTTTCTATCAGAAATTTTGCATAAAATTATTTAAAACAAATAGAACTGACAATTGCATCACAATATGACACACATGTAATTTTAGTCTGCATAGAAGCTAGTAACATTTTTTATCTTATAAAGATGCTATTCTCTTTTACAATTATGGAAAAGAAAATTATTTAGCATAGTAGAAGTGTTAAAAAATCTAAAACTACTTGCCAAACAAAATCTGAGGTATAACTTTATCATATTCTTTTGTGCTTTGATTTATTTTTTTTCCATGTTATGCATTTTAAATACATATATGATAATGGCTCTTTACAGCTATCTTTTCCTGCCCTGTTGGCTGGGGCTTCAGAATTTGCTGACTGCACCTCTGCGGAGGGGTAATCCCCCCCCCCCCATAATCCCATGAGACCACTTGTTTGCTGTGAGTAGTGATCTGGCACACCTGAAATCCCCCCCCCCCCGGAAAATAGGGTATAATATCGAGCCAGTGGAACAATATATCCCTGATCCTGATCCACTAAGATGATTTAGGTGCCAAAAATTTGGACATCATAGGGGTAGCTGCAGGAGTCACACAATTTGTGTAAAATGTGTCCAAAGGAATTTAGACGATACTGAAGAAGAATTCCATGATGAAATAACATGTGCTAACTGCCAAGAAAGCCATCCAGCATACTCAAGAACATGTGATTTCTGGAAAAAGGAAAGGGAGATTGTCAAAGTAAAATATAAAGGAAACTTCTCGTTTTCAGAAGCAAAGCAAGTAGTAGAAGGTTACATGAAAGCCCCTTCCTATGCAAAAATAATGGAAAATAAGACAAATAATGGCAATCAACCTGACAAATACAGAGCCCTCATTGAGAAGCTCATACACTTGGACCAAATGATTGGTCCAAATTTCAAATTTACATAAAATGTCTATATTCCAAGGAAATGGTGCAGGCTGAAAGAAGGACAATGAAAAAACTGAAATAATAAAGAAAAATAAATAGTAAAACAATAACTCAAATAATAAAAATAGTAAAAAACAAATAATAAAAACAATAACTCAAACACAAAACAATCCTACCAAAAATACCAAATCTCCTACTAAACAAAGGTCATAGTGATCTCCTATCCATCCACCAAAACCCAGAAAAAACAGACTGAAAAGCTTATCTCCCAAAAGAACAGAATCAGCCAAACAAAAGCCGGAAATACACAACAACCAAATTCCCATGCAAAATCTATTTGACAGACTAGAAAAGCTGGAGGTGGAAAGCCAAAACCCTCCAATGGCTAAAACCTCCAAAATCACATAAGCTAAAGGTAAAAAACATTTAAACATCCATGCATAAGATAATTCAATGGAACTGCTAAGGAACAAAGGCAAATATAAGTGAACTGCTTCTATTAATAACAGACCTGTCACCGGCAGTTGTTTGCTTTCAAGAAACATTCCTTAAGCAAAGTGACAAAATGAATATAAAAGAATACCAGCAATAAAACAATACACATGACACTGGGCTTCATGCGCCTGGCAGTACATATACCCTAGTTAAGAAGGGTGTATCCCAAAGTAAAATAAATTTGACAACTACTTTACAGGCAACTGCTGTTAATGTGACCAAACATTTGCTCAGTATATATCCCACCTAATGAACAAGTAAATAAAGCCAAAATTCATAAAATTATAAGACAACTTGACAGGATTTGATGTGCAGCAGTGAGCCAAAACATTACCAAAAAAGGTACCTCCTAAAGGGAAGCTTTATTTTCACTGCAGAATGAACATTATCTCAGAGAGCAAACAAAAAAAATTTTCTATTAGATATATATTAACTGAGTGATCAGATTTTGCTCTTTCAAGACACAAATACATATAAACAATATGTATGAGTTGTTTGAGAAAGTAAAAGTGGATGATATAATATTTCTCAAAACAGTATGACTCTACCAAAAATTATAAACCAAATGGGAATATCAAAATCAATTTCTCTACAAACTGTGTATCTGAAAGAATACATCAATGAAAGCAGACTCAACAACAACTCTTTTTACAAAAGTATTGTCAACGGAACCATATATACAAACTGTTACATTAAAAAGAATATATATTCTATTCATAAGAATCTGTTGTAAAAATCCTGTCAGCATTAAATAACCCATTGTAGTGTTGATATGATGTAAAACAAACCAAATAACTACTTTTTCATCTATAAATTGCGTTTTGGAGAAAGATAATGGAATGCTATCCTGTTGTCTTCTCCATGTGATTTATTTACTGGGTTAAACTGAGATTTGGCAGGGTGGGGGTCATCTTTAAAACTGATACTTTTTTTTTTAATTGCTTTTCTCTAAAAGCTGCATTGTCTCCCACCTTAGACATTAAAAATGTATTACTTCTCAAGTCTGCATACTCAAAACTTTCACCATTAATGTTTCATTTATGCTTATCACCAACACATTCATCCTCTATAGCAATTATTAATTAGTTTTTCCACCTCTCCTCTATACAATATTGAAAAAAGAGTGTGTTGAATTATTTTAGTGAAAAAGCTAATGACAAAGTATAAAGGAAGTAATAATGTGCTGTGGACGATTAGCCACTGTATTTGTTCTGTTTATTCAAAAACAAATATAAGCCATCTTCATTGATATGACAATCAGTAAATAAAATGGTAAGCAGTTTCCATGATAAGTTTGAACTAGTAAACAATTTCAAAACATTAATTATTAAAGAGTTTTGATTCTGTGCAACTCTTGATGAATTTATTAGGACCATTAATAAGTTCTTACTGGTTTTTCATGAAAAGTAATATTTTGTTTACAAAAATTGGTAAGAAACATGTCACTGAAAGTATTGTCCATTGCTAACCACTACTTTTTCCCATCTTTCTGGCAGCATTTGAATTCCATGTCAGAAAAACCAATTTTTTTGCATATTCATAAGAATGAAAGTGCTGCTCAGCCCAGCCATGTGCCATCGAATGGTTTGCAACATGTGGTTTTGCATTGACATGTTGCAAAATCACTTTGTTGTGTCTCTGCTCGTAGAACAGCCATTTTTTTCTTCAATGCTCAGCTCAAACACATCAATTGTATTTGATAGCAATATCTCATGATGATTTTGATTGGTTTGATCAGTTCATAATAAACTACACCCAACTGATCCCACCAAATAATTGTCTTTGCCACTGATGTTGATGCATGGCCAGCCTTAACCACAATCTCCTACACTTATGGTTATCATAGTGTATCCACTTCTCATTGCCAATCATGATTTTGATGCAAAAAGCCTTTCCTGTCATTGAAGCAGCTGTTCACATATGACATCTCTCAGTTTCAACTCATATAGCACCCAATGTCTTTGCTTTTGAATCATTCCTAATGATTTTGAATGTTTCAAAACTGTTGTGTTATCAATTACTAATGATTCTGCAGGTTCAGCTTGCACCTGACACGAGTCTTCAGGAAGTAATGCCTCCAATTCTTTGTCTTCGAACTTTTTTCGGTGCACCAGAGCATTCTTTATCTTCAATATCAAAGTCATTATTTTTGAGGCATCTCAACCAATCTCTGCATATTGTTTTCAACAGAGCATGGTTGCCATAAGTCTCAACAAGAATTCTGTGTGCTTCAGCTGCAGATTTCTTTTGAATAAAGTAGTGCAGTAAAATTCTCCGCAAATACATTTTCCTTGGCACGAAATCTGACATGTTTAACACTATGAAAAACAAAGTTGTTT